GATATAAAAAAAAAACATCTGTCCATGAAAGAAAGTTATTATAAAAAAAATCCAACAAGCTAAGAACATGTGAAAAGTGTGCTTAACTAATATTTAATCATTTGATGATACAAAGATTTGTAATAGGGTTGATGTTCCAAGACGGATAAGCCAAATGGCAAATGATTTATGTAAACTAAAAAAATGGTCAGAGTTGTGGCACCTGCCATTTAATGTGGATAAGTGCAAGCGACCCCTGAAAGGCGACTGAAACAAATGGGTGGACAAACCAATTGTCTTTGATCGGAGGGTCCATTCAAAAAATGAACGTTATGCACAGACTGCAGTTCTACATCTAGGCCTTACCAATACCAATCACCAAAACAGACTTAGCTCCCCTGCAAAAGGCAATAGGAGACTTCATTTGGAAAAACAAAAGACACAGAGTATCCAGAAACGTATTATACAGACCTAAAGCAGAAGACAAATTAGGCTTACAAAACCTTTACTACTACTACCTAGCGGCACAATTAGCACAGACCGCTATGTGACACTCAACGCCTGACAAAAACAGATGGGTAGATCTCGAATCCAATATGATGGGTGCTGATATCCCTCAATTTTACATCTGGCTACCAAGAGAGCACAAAGCGATCCTCTGCACACAGTGCCCCGTGATCTTGCACTCCTTCCGGGTCTGGGATTCCACTGCTCTGAAATACAAGCTAACCACATCCCCCTCACCAATGATGCCATTGCTGAGAAACAGTGAATTCCCCTCAGGAATGAAATCACATGACTACAAGGGCATCGAGTACATAGAATTACAGAGGGCACTACACCTATACAAGGGTGACCAAATCATAACATTCGAGGCATTGAAGGAAAGTACCTCGCTAAAACCTGCTGTCATTTTTAGATACCTCCAGATTAGAGATTTCGCCCAACACAACCTAATAAAAGAAGCAGCACATAACACACTCACCGGCTTTGAAAATCTGTGCCTCAAAGAAAACCTCCTGAAGGGACTGATCACCTCCCTGTATGCCCACCTGAGCTCCAATAACACTGACTGGGGAGAATTGCACTACACAACCCAATGGGAATCTGATCTTAGAGAGGTACTGGGGGGTACAGAATGGAGAGAAATTTGAGACACAAATAGGGCTACATCTGTATGTGTCACACAACAGGAACAGGCATATAAAACCATGCTCAGATGGTACACCACCCCGGTAAAGTTACACCATATGCGCCAAACCCCCGGATGACTTTGTGACAGACCGCCTGGCACCCCGACCGGGTTCCCTTGTCAATCGCTGCTTCTTAGTACTTGCGAGCACCATAAGCAGTGTACTGGAACACCATAACCATCACAAACCACCGCATCTTGGTTGGGGTCTCGCCGTCCTCCACCCACCCTGGACCCAAGACCAAGATCCAGCTTCCAGTGGTTACCACACTGGCCTTTTATGCAAGTCCCCATTCAAGGGGCACTCCCACATGGACCTTGTGGGGAACTCCAATACAAAGTCACAGACCAATGACAATATACAATGACCATATACAAACATACAATCCTTCCCCTCTGCCTGGAAGATAATTGGATCAGGAACTGTACTAATATAATTCAATTATCTCCAAGCACAGAAAAAACATACATTTTAGGTATATTGCAGGGCCCGTAGTCCTGAGGCAAGAGGCTGGCGAGCAGGCCCCTTAAAAAAAGAAGACAGCATTGTTCAAGTAAGTGGACTATGAGATAAGAGAGTTGGTCAAGAGTGGTGAGGAGAGGAGATGCCGTGGTGTACAATGTTTGGGGGGAAAAGTATATTGTATTTATTTGGAATATGAAAGTAGGGGTGGGGAAAATAGGGATGGATTGTAAAGGGTTAAAAAACTGATTAATGCTGATTAATATTTGCTGCTGTCATTTCTGCAGAATTAAAGTTTAGATTATCTATAAATGAGGAGATGAGCTATGGGTTGGTGGGTGAAGGGTCAGGGCGAACAATCAGCATACAAAAGGGTCAAATCTTCACACTTACCTGATTTGGACCATTAGAAGATCATCTCACTTAGATAGCCTCGGTTCCTGTTATCCAGTGGCACCCCCTTCAACTGGTGGTAAAAGAAATCTGTGTCAGTGTAACATACAGACTCCAATTCTTTACTACTCCAATAATTCAATAAAACAAAACGAGACAAATCCACAAAAACTTGTTTTACCTTAAAATCTGAAAGCATCTCCATTCATATTAATATTTCCTCATGAATATTGTGTTTGTACATTAAAGAGGCACTGCCACCATCTGGAGACTTTGCAGAATTCACAAAATTCACCCCCGACAGTGACATTGCCGCTGGGGTCCGGTGGCCAGAGAGGCAGGTAAAGGGGAGATTTACAGAATCGCGTGTGTAGATATCTTGTTCCAGCGGGTCCTCTTCGGCTCCAGGCGCGAACATCACTGCTGTACAGCATTGAGGTCAATGGAGGATCCTGTGAGACTGCGGGATGCTCTGTATACAGAGCCAATTCCCTGCAGCCTTCACTGGTAAAAGTCAAGCAGATTAAATATATTGAGAAAAAGTATATCTTGTCTCTAAATATCTCTTGACTGGGTTGGAATTTCAGTGAAATTCCAACACAGTCAATATGAGTATTTCATAAAGATTTTTTTTTTTTTTTAAACAATCGTGGTTATAAAAAAAATTTAGGATTCTTTTTATGGTCTTATTATTTCACTATTGAAGGTTCACCTGCCCATTAATTGGCTGAACAATTATCAGGAAACCGTTATGGTTAATTTGGGCTATAAAAATTGTGCAGAATTTGATGCCACCAAACCCATAACCCCTATGACTGGCTGGAGGGGTTAGGGTGTTGGGAGTCCTCTGTAAACAATTACTAATTTACATGTACCTGGCTCTATATGATGCTCTATCTGGAGGAGGAACACATTTGAGTCCCTTGTTTCAGACCTCATAATAAAATAATCTCAATAATTAATTCATCTTAATGAAGTTGTTATTGGGGCTGGCGTCACTGGGCACTGTGTGATCTTCAGGGGTCAAATCATTTTTGTATGATTTAACTCGAAAGTTGGTTCCCCGAACGTCCGATAGTTCTGCCTCCTGTCTCCTCCTTCAGCGGCTGTACAGTCCAGGAAGGTCTGACACACTCAGTCTGTCATTAGCTTCCAGGGAAAACCTCTCTAGACTGTATAGCAGCTGGAGGGAGGACTGGGGAGGCAGAGTTGATAAGCACCAGGGAACCAACTTTGGGTTAGACCGTTTAAAAACAATGAAGTTTTTATGGAGTAGGAACAGTAGCACGTCTGTGTGTTTTGTTAATCTTTGTTACAAGTTTCCTTTCCATCTCACATGATCTGTTAATTATTAAAGCAATTTATGAAACTAATATATATTTTTTTAAAAAGAAACCAATCTGCCTATGAAAATAAAACCAAACTAACAAAACTGTAACTTACAAAATCATTGCTGAAACTAAACCTAAACTGAAACTTGAATCGTGGAGCTCTGAAATACCTGAACAGATGAATATATTGGTAGTAATGTTTTTACAAAAATCTGCAAATAATGCACAATCATAGTGTATATGGTACTTAAAACCAGAAATGAATGAAGGTATGTAAATTAACAACTCTCAAGTGTAGAGCCAAATAGTCAACTGGCTCTAGTGTGAAGAGCCTCGGGATCTTTCAGGGGAGATCCACTGCCCTCTTTTATCTTCTTCTGGTCTCCTCCACATCCAATTTGGTGTATAGGAATGGACAGGATGACTCCAATGGTGAAGGCAAATAAATTTATTTAATAAAATAAGAATCCAAAATAAAAAGATCAATTGATCAAAATAATCAGTAAAAAGTTATAAATAAAGTCCAAAATGCGTTTCGCCATTGATTGGCTTCCTCAGTTGGTGTATCGTTTATGCGTCGTCCTTCTCTTATACAGCCCTGATTGCAAGATTGCCGGCATCTGTGAACCCGGAAGTCGGTTCTGTGGAATGCACGCAGACTCAGTTGGAACACACGTTTGTGCGTCAGTCATGTGATTTGGCTGTAGTTTCCTTTCCCTCGTGGAACACATCGTATGCGTTCCACGTCCATAGTCCATTTCAATACACTGTACTGGATGGCAAGTCCTTTATCCAATCAGCTCATTTACCTCTCATAAAAATAGAGGAAATACAAATAATCAAGAAGACATCCTCAGATGAGAGACTTACTACCAGAGGCGGCTCTCTAATTTGGCGGTTTAGGCGGCTGCCTAAGGCCTCGCGCTGGCTGGGGCCTCGCGGCTGCCTAAACTGCCTGTGGGCAGTCTGTGTCAGGCCCTCGGTCAGTGACCGAGGACTTGACACCAGGAGGGGACCCGGCGGTTTGCCCGGTATGCCGCTGGGTGCGAGGCAGCTCCTGGCTGCCCAGCCACCATCGCAGACACCGGTCTGCAGCTCCGCAGTGTGCAGAGCTGCAGACCACGTGTCTCGCGAAAACCGGCCAATCAGAGCGTTGCCGCGGGTTACCAGACCGGAAGAAGTGGCCACCGGACCATCAGGGAGCCCACTGGACCACCAGGGAAGAGAAGGTAGGCTCTCTCACCCCCCTCACCACCACCCTCAGCCTCCCCCCCACCAGCCTCACCACCCTCAGCCTTCCCACCCCCACCAGCCACCCACACCACCTCAGCCCCACCCCCCACCAGCCTCACCACCCCAGCCTGCACCCCACCAGCCTCACCACCCTCAGCCTTCCCACCCCCCCACCAGCCTCACCACACCCCACTCAGCCTTCCCACCCCCCCCACCAGCCTCACACCCAGCCTGCCACCCCCCCACCAGCCTCACCACCTTCTTCCCACCCCCACCAGCCTCACCACCTTCAGCCTTCCCACCCCCCACCAGCCTCACCACCCTCCAGCCTTCCCTCCCCCACCAACCTCACCACCCCAGCCACCCACCCCCCACCAGCCTCACCACCCTGACCTTCCCACCCCCCCACCAGCCTCACCACCTTCAGCCTTCCCACCCCCCCACCAGCCTCACCACCCTCAGCCTCCTTGGGGTGGGGTGGTGAGGCTGGTGGAGGGGGTGGGAAGGCTGAGGGTGGTGAGGCTGGTGGGGGGAGGCTGAGGGTGGTGAGGCTGGTGGGGGGTGGGAGCCTCCCCCCACCAGTCTCACCACCCTCAGCCTCCCACCCCCCACCAGCCTCACCACCCTCAGCCTTCCCACCCCCCACCAGCCTCACCACCCTCAGCCTCCCCCCACCAGCCTCACCACCCTCAGCCTCCCCCCACCAGCCTCACCACCCC